TGTGGTTTGCCAAAAACCGCACAGCTATTGCCTTATCAGGACTTTGAACTTAGGCAGTCAAAGCGCTCTGGTTTCAGAGTCAGTGCTTTTGCCGCTAAGAGACTTTCAGAGCCATAGAAGATAATGCTCTATGCATCTCCAGTGGTCATCCCATTTCTCTGGTAGAAATCTCCCAAGACAGGAAATCACTACCTTGCAATTCAGCAAATCTATTTTTGGACAACTCTAATTGAAAGAAAGTGCTTCTGTTGGATGTTAAGCATTTGCCCGAAGGAAAAACAAAAAGAAAGTGCTTCTGAATCAAAATCTTGCACTTTTTGATCTATCCTTTGGGATCACACAGAACAAGTTGAATGCCTCTTTCATACGACAGTGTTTTGGTTTTATTTTTCCAAATAATGTGGGAACTGATTGGATTTCATTCATTCAAACAGGTATTTATTGAGCATATACTATGTGTAAAACACTGTGCAGGGAACAATAGGGAATATAAAGAATGAAACTCAGGGCCGGGCGCGGTGGCTTACGCCTGCAATCCCAGCACTTTGGGAGGCCGAGGCGGGCGGATCACAAGATCAAAAGATTGAGACCATCCTGGCCAACTTGGTGAAACCCTGTCTCTACTAAATTAGCTGGGCGTGGTGGCATGAGCCTGTAGTCCCAGCTACTCAGGAGGCTGAGGCAGGAGAATCGCTTGAACCCAGGAGGCAGACGCGTCCTCGCCGACGCGAAGCAGCGCACCTGCACTCAGCCCTGGTGCACGCCGCGAGCACCATTCAAAAAAAAAAAAAAAACAACCCTCGCCCAGGTTACCCCTACTCTTACAGGCAATTTCACTTTACGTTAGGAAACTGAGACAGTGTATATTCGCACGGCTACACTCCACCCGCTAAAATCCAGTAATCCATGAGCAGTCAGACTCAGGAGACAATTGAGATGACGTGCAGCCCAGTCCTCTCTCTACAAGCAGCAGACAGCCTTCCATGGAGGCACAGCCAAGAACTGGAATCTTTAACTTATCCTATATCGGACCTAATATCTGACTGTAGATCTGATTGATACCCCCTCATACCCTACTGTAATATCTTAGGAACATTATTCCTGCAATGTTGACTGAATTTTCTAGAACTGCTTTTTTCTGGAGTAATTTAGTCAATTTGTTTTTTTTTTCATTTCTTCCTGCTTAACAGCTGTATATCTCCACCTTTTTCTCTTATTGATCTATTCCATTCGAGCATACTTGAGTAAGCTTAAAGATCCTCTCATCTAAAGCTTTTCAAATTTCTTTTTTTTTTTTTTTGAGCACGGAAGTTCCCTTGCTCTGTCGCCCAGGCTGGAGTGCAGTGGGGTCAGATCTCGGCTCACTGCAAGCTCCGCCTCCCGGGTTACCACCCTTCTCCTACCTCAGCCTCCCCGATGTAGCTGCGGACTACGACCCACCCACCACATCCTGCTTATTTTTTTTTGTTATTTTTAGTAAGGACGGGTTTCACGGTTGTATGGCCCAAGAAGTGGGCTCCGATCTCCTCCCCCTCGACTCCCGCCCGCCTCCGTTCCTCCAACGTGCTTGCATTACAGGCATGATCCACTGCCGCTGGCCAATCTTTTTTCTTTTTTTTCTTTTCTTTAGCGCACCAGGGTCTCACTTTTGTCACCCGAGGCTGACGTGCAGTGGTGCCAATCCGGTTCACTGCGAGTTTTTGACCCCCGGGGTTCAAGCGTTCTCCCACCTCAGCCTCCTAAAAAGCGACTTCACACCCAAACAAAAACAACCAATGTAGCCTGGGACCCACAGGCACATTGCCACCACCTGGCTAATTTTCTGTATATTTTTTTGTAGATAGGTTTTTCACCTTGCTTGCCCAGGCTGGTTCTGTAAACTCCTGGGCTCAGGTTTGCCGCCTTGGCTCCCAAATACTAGTTACAAGCACACACTGCCGGCGCCAGTTCACATTTCTTTTTCTTTCTTTTACCCTCACCTTTTTTTTCTTTTCGAGACAGAGTTCTTGCTCTGTCGCCCGGAGCTGGAGTGCAGTCGGCACGATCTCGGCTCATGGGCCAAACCTCCCTGCCTCCCACCCGCTTCCACGCCCCGCCACTTCTCTGCCTCGCCTCTTGAGTCTAGCCGGACTACGGCACCTCTGCCACACCACGCCCAGCTATTTTTGCTATTTTTTAAGCATGCCAGCAACCGCGGTTCCTCCGCCCTACCTTGGCCAGCGCTGCCTTGCCTCCTCCCCGCCCCTCCACTGATTCACCCGCCTGGCCTCCCACAAGCTGCTGGAGGTCTACAGGCATGAGCCCACCGCACCCGCCAGTTCCTCTTAGATTTCTTTTTTTTTTTTGAGATGGAGTCTCACTTTGTCACCCAGGCTGGAGTGCCAGTGGGCACGATTCT